CAATGTAATGAACTATTTCTCTCCATCCTTTCTCTTGCATCAATGTAGTGAACTATTTCTCTCCATCCTTTCTCTTGCATCAATGTAGTGAACTATTTCTCTCCATCCTTTCTCTTGCATCAATGTAATGAACTATTTCTCTCCATCCTTTCTCTTGCATCAATGTAATGAACTATTTCTCTCCATCCTTTCTCTTGCATCAATGTAATGAACTATTTCTCTCCATCCTTTCTCTTGCATCAATGTAGTGAACTATTTCTCTCCATCCTTTCTCTTGCATCAATGTAATGAACTATTTCTCTCCATCCTTTCTCTTGCATCAATGTAGTGAACTATTTCTCTCCATCCTTTCTCTTGCATCAATGTAGTGAACTATTTCTCTCCATCCTTTCTCTTGCATCAATGTAGTGAACTATTTCTCTCCATCCTTTCTCTTGCATCAATGTAGTGAACTATTTCTCTCCATCGAAAGAGAACGTAGTTACATCACTTGATAAAGACTCCATCCTTTCTCTTGCATCAATGTAGTGAACTATTTCTCTCCATCCTTTCTCTTGCATCAATGTAGTGAACTATTTCTCTCCATCCTTTCTCTTGCATCAATGTAGTGAACTATTTCTCTCCATCCTTTCTCTTGCATCAATGTAGTGAACTGTTTCTCTCCATCCTTTCTCTTGCATCAATGTAGTGAACTATTTCTCTCCATCCTTTCTCTTGCATCAATGTAATGAACTATTTCTCTCCATCCTTTCTCTTGCATCAATGTAATGAACTATTTCTCTCCATCCTTTCTCTTGCATCAATGTAGTGAACTATTTGTCTCCATCCTTTCTCTTGCATCAATGTAATGAACTATTTCTCTCCATCCTTTCTCTTGCATCAATGTAGTGAACTATTTCTCTCCATCCTTTCTCTTGCATCAATGTAGTGAACTATTTCTCTCCATCCTTTCTCTTGCATCAATGTAGTGAAGTATTTCTCTCCATCCTTTCTCTTGCATCAATGTAGT